GATGTCTGAACTAACGCACGCGCATTTGAGCGTCCGGACTATCTATAAGAAAGCGCGTCTCTTCGATACCGAATTGAAAAGAGGATGAGAGGTGGCGTTTGACTACTACTTTCGCCATTCCTTTATTATCTACTGTTGCGGAAGAACAGGTCGATCAATCATTCGATGAATCGTCATCGAGATCGATGGCTAGATGGCGCAAGCTACCGCCTAATGTAAGATTTATATTCACTGTAACACACGCATCGATCGAGTTGCCGCCACCCAGAAGTCCCAAAATCTATCCCTCCAGCTTGAAATATTCTCCTGCTGAACGAAATCCGAAACCCTCGAGTGGAGGACAATGCCAATGGACTAAAACACATCCTCGAAAAGAAAATAACTGTCTTGCTGGATTTCCTAACTCACCTGAACACAAGCGATCTGTCAGTGACATGATATATTTAGGTGTGGAAACCAGGCCCGTCGCAGCTGCCAGATAAAGCCCTCTCCTCGCCCCTGCTGCAAGTGGTGCCAGCAGACGGCTCCTCGATATGAGGCTAATGGCAGCCTAACCAGAGACCATATTCCCATGCTTCTATATGGAAGGGACTTGCTATTGAGAACGTTTTCTGGGCCCCCCACGTCGTGTAGAACATTCCACTTGCGCTACACGTGTTGCTTAGACACTGCCTCGTCATTAAGCCTACTTCTGTGCTTCAACGGCCTAAATAACAGTTAAACGAATGCGTAAAACCGGAGGGATCTATCGTGCATTTTTCAAGAGAGCGTCTTTCAAAGGCGGAGCAGACACTCAGAGTGGAAAGAGCCCGCGCCGGTGTAAAATGAGAACGAGACGAATTTTTGTTTTGTTTGCTTCTTTTTTTGTTTTGTTTTGTTATTTTCGTAGTCTAGACGACGGAGACATTGTTCTCGGAGGCTACTGGGGTGCGCGTCAATAAGACTTTGTCTGGTCGATCGCCCTGCTGTGTGTCCCCACCCATATATATATATATATATATATATATATTTATCAGGGTGTCGAACCGGAACCGAACCGAACCGAAAACCAGAACCGAACCGGTATTTTTTCCGGAACTGAACCCGAACCCGAAGCGTTATATTGTTATCGCGATGAACCCGAACCGGAACTGAACCGGAAAAAAAAATAACGGTTACCGGCTTAAGTCAAAACGGTTCGGCCACGCGCTGTTGACAATGAATGTGCTATCAATGCCATTTGTTTTTTAAGTGCCGTCAACTGACACACACCTCGCTTACATATTTTTCTTCTCCACCCAGTCTTAGGAATATAAACGCTGCATCCATGAATCTTGACAAACGATGCATCCATAAATCTTGACATAGGAACCAGCCTATTGCGCTGGTCGCGGCTTGCACGGAAAAAAAAAAATTAAAGGCTGTGCAAAAAAAAAAAAAAAAAATCGCGTCACGGGATTTTATTTTTCTACAATCTCGTAAATCCTAAATGCTGCTGTGTGCTCATTTCATAACACGTTTTTAGAACGCGCGAGTTCTTGAAGCTTGCTTCCATTGGAATGAGAAAAGAAAAGGCTGTGGAGTTTGATAATGTTTGAGGGAGAGAAAGAAATTTTATTTACAGTTGAAATGATCATTCATGAATTATATCTACTCTTCGCTGCCCCAACTGCCGGTCAGAGTATATCGAGCTATAAAGTGTCAAGATTTACATGCCGTATTTTTTCGTACCGGAAACTCGATAAATGCAGGGAAAAAAAAACAGGGATACAAACCCTAGTCGCTCGCGGAGAAGCGAAGCTGCGCGCACTTTCGAATTTGACAAAGGATCTGCCGAGCTTCTGTTGCTTCCGTCGCCTGCCCAGCGTAGTCATGGGACTCAGGCGGGCGCGTGCGCTCAAACCAACGCTCAGCAGACGCTGGAGTTAGCGCCCGTGACAGACAGCCCTGTCATCAGACAGTCGTTGTTTGCCGCTTGCATTGGCTACAGGCTTTTATAAACGTTATGCACTACTAGTTTCGACTACTTTTCATTTGTTTTCATCAGTGTCCGTATTATTCATGAATAAACGCGCCAGAGCAAATCGAATTCTACGTACGTTTGCCGTGACCCGTACTCCTTTGGGGTGTGCACCCTCCTCTTTTTTTTCTCTCACAAACACGCCGTTTGTCTGTACTTACTTGTACGATGTTTTATTTGTAATTTATTTTGATGTTGCAATTTGTCATTTATAGTTTCCGAACCGGTTCGCGAACCGGTTCAACGCCCCGAACCGGTTCGCGAACCGGTTCCCGGATCGAATTAATCGAACCGGAACTGATCCGGAACAAAATAAATTTACCTGAACTTGAACCGTAACCGAACTCGTATTTTTTTCGGTTCGACACACTGATATATATATATATATATATATATATATATATATATATATATATATATATATATATATATATATATTTTACACTGTGGACAGTCTTCCGCTGGGTACACGTACTCACTAAACACGGGTCTCTGCACGGCGCAGACACAGCACTTGTATGCAATTTCTGCCCCGGCTTGGCCTCTGCAAGGAGACGCCGAAATATCAGCACTACGGTTTAGTTACGTGTTGTCGGTGGACTCCAGAATCGCGACAAGGCGGCTGGGGTATTGGAGGGGTACAAGTTAGGCTTAATGAAGTGTAGCGGAACCCCTCAAAACTTCTCAAATAAAATAAAAGTAAATATAAAACTATATTGTAATCGACCTCATTAATCAAATATTCATTTACTTCGCGTCAGAAACTGATGCAGGCTGCAGGGGCAAAAAAAGTCAGAAGTTTGACTTGACAAGGCCTCTGCAGCTTTACAATTGGAACACGGCGACATAAAGTGGTAATATTTAGTTTTCAGGCTTTTAACATTGATAACAAAAAACAAGAAGCACAGCATCAATTAATCACACTACCAAAGATAGCAAATAAAGAACATATATTCGTCACACGACGATATATTTAGATAGATGACAGGACTGTAAAGGTACGAATCGTATTACCTAAAGGATAACACAAATATGCAGAACACTTGGCCCTACAGTAAAATCGCAATTTCAATGCGGAAAAAAAATTGAAATGCAGAAAAAAAGACGCTTTCGTCGGTGGCATCAAATGCACAAAAAACGCGACGGACGCCATGACGGTACACTTTTGGCTCTGCTTCATCGGGTCCAACGGGTCGTAGCACTGGCTGTGGTCGTACTTAATAGAGAGTTTTAGGGAACCGTTTTTGCAATTCCGATACGGTACAATGGGCACTCCGGTACGTACTGCCCATGCCCCTATACCACAGAAGACTCGCATATGAACAGTTCGAACCGGTGGCCCATCGCACCATATCGAAAGTGCAAAAAACTGTTTCCTAAAACTTTCTAATGTAATATAGTCTTAGCAAATCACCGAGGACGTGAAAGGAAAGGAAACGCGGTAAGCCCTTACAGTCTTATACCCCATTCACACGACCAGAAAGGCACTCTTAGCTGAGGGACCTTCAAGGTCCGCCGCGGATCAGTTCACGATCCTCCGCACGTGGCATGTGCTCGCGACCCAAAAACACGGGCATGATTCGTCGTGATTGTAAAGGAACTCACGTCAATGGTACCTCTATATGTGGGCCATCTGAACGGGATATTGGCTGACGTTTCTTTAATATTCGCAGTTGCGTCTGTAAGCGAAACGTATCCCATCCATCTTATGAATAATTGAGGGGGATTGTTCGATCGAGTGAAGGACAAAGCGGCAAGGACACAGTGAGCGCGAACGAGCGATCGCCGATTTAATATTTATTTTTATATTGGTGAACACCTGTCACCAAACTTAGCAGTGTGGTTTGGAAGGGCTCACTAGGGGCGCCAGCGTAAGCGGTAAATTATGGTGCCCATCGTTAACCGTTCGGATAGAGATGCGAGGAAAGTTCGTCGTCGTCTTCGGAGTCCACGCAAGAGTGTTCCATCGGGTTCAAATGAATTGCGAACAGTGACGGAACTTCGAGCCCACTACCGGCGCAACCTCCACGTCTGTGCTGTAGTCCGCGAGGTTCAAACACGTCGGAATAGGGCGCTACGCTGTTGTTCGACCTACTCTGATGTGTTCGAACCTCGCCCAACAAAACAAAAGCTTGGAAGCTGCGCCGTTAGTGGGCTCGGAGTTCCCTCACTGTTCGCATTTCATCCCAACTCGATGGTGCATAGACAACGTCGGCAGGGACAAGCGATTTGTAGTCTTTCATCACTACATTAAATAGTACGTTCACTGCCGTAATTTTAATTTCACGGCTCAAATCTAGCTCTGAGGATTCAGATAAAATGTCGAAATTTTCAAGGACCCCAAGAAGTCAAATGCACCATCACTTTATATTCCACGTACCTAGTGTCTGGGAGGAAATTTAACCTTGTTTCTTTTTTGAGCAGAAATAAACTGCGCGTCTTTGAATGTCCATTCTTCGCCCAAAAACTACGCTAGGGGTCAGGACCATATGCAAAGGTTTCAGAGCTTTTTTTTATTTGATTTAATATTTATAGCCGACTTTCGATATGTCTTGTTCATAATATGAGTCCCGTTGTTTGTAGTAGACACCATTTTCTACCATGTATATTTAGCAGAAATCGTCTCATTTTACCATCGAAAAGTTTGAAAAATTGCTCAAACCTTTAGGTTGGACAAAAAAAAAGTTGGTTTAAAAAATCTGGCATGTGGCCCCGATCACTTTCCGCACAAAAAAAAAAATGATTTCAGTTTTAATTTAAATTAAAAAAAAAAAAAAAAAATTTTATTTAGACGAAGATCCGGGAGGATGGGCAAAGCACAACGTACCCGGTATTACCTGAAAGGCGGTGGCAAAATATTTTGTGGATGGCGATTCACAGAAAACGTTTTCTTGCAAAGTTTAACTTTTCAGTCAAACGTTGTGTGATGGAGGTCTTTTTTTTGTATACTTATCGATGACTGCAACGTTTTTGATGAATGACGTCATGTGGGCATGTGCAGGTCTCGTGGATTCGGCTACGCGACTTCCACTTGCTGACAGTGGGGCTGATTCGCTACACCTGGGACGAGCGCTTCAGCACCGTGCACGTGCAGTACTCGAACAGCTGGGCGCTGCAGGTGAGAGACGCACAGCTGAAGGATGCAGGACTCTACGAGTGCCTGCTCAACTCAGATCCCCCGAAGAGGCAAGTGGTTGCCCTCAAGGTGGTTGGTAAGTAGCCCATCAGTTGTTTTATTCGTGTTTTCTTTGGTGCCACAAACATTAAAAAATACATTGAAGAGTCGGTTGGGAAACGAAATAGTCGTGTCCAAACCGACTCGTTCGTGTTGTATTACACACCTTTCTCAACCAATGGTTGAAAAGTGTCCGAACAGGCCGCTTAAAGCAGCCGCTGCGTGGCTGCTTTAAAGGGATGGTGAACTGAAATTTGGATTTCAAGAAAACAAAGCTGGAGATGTAGGCGGGACGCGACAATCCCTACAATACTACTTGCAAAACGATATCTCGAATGGACGGCCGTATTTTTGGAAAAAGAGGTCGAGATTGATACCAGGCCGACGAGGCGCGTGACGTCAATATACCGTGTTTCCTCCTCTCTTCGCTTCACTCCCTCAAGGCCGTGAGGCGGAGAAAACGCGAGGCCGTTCCCTCTCCTTCTCGGAGAAACATAACGTCAACATTCCGGCCAAATGCCTCTCCTTTTTTGAAAAATGCGGTCATCCGTTCGAGATATTGCTGTATGAGTGATGTTTTGGTGTTTGCAGCATCCCGTTGCACGCTTTTTCTGCGTGTTCTGGGAAATTCAAATTTCGGTTCAGCATCCCTTTAAAGGCCGCTGTACAAACGGGACGTTCTGCAGGGAACAACCTTCTCTACCGAAGCTGGAGACGGGGAGGGAATGGGCCAGCGTTGGGTGGAAAGGGCGTCTAGAGAATGGGATTAGCCTCGGGGCGAGCCATCCTCTCGAGAGGGAGTGGGGACGGAACAAAGCTGCCGTGGGTAGGGAGCCTTCATGTGCGCTTTGCTGGGGGTTCCGGCTAGCAGGTGGAAGATAAGCTTGTCAAACGGCGACCTCGGATTCGAGGACGGGCACGTCAGAGAATTTGAAAATAGCAGCTTGATTAGCCGGAGGACCCAGTGCGGCCTACTGGCTCTAGAAGGTGACTCAGATTAAGAAACTCGTTTTGCTCCAAAACTCTAAAAGCATTCTGGAACGTGAACTCTTGACACAAATAAAAATAACACATACATGAAAAACTACGAAGGCACCTAAGCTTTCTCCTATGATGTGAGAATGCGTGAGCATTACAGGCAGAGTTATGTTGGCGCAACTTGCAATAAAGAAAGAAGGAAAATGTTATGTTGGCGCAACTAGGCGCAACGAATAGCGCGCTAGTTTCACGATCAAGACTGCCTAGATTCGAAACCGGGCAGGGGATGGTTTTTTTCTCGTTTTCTTTTTTTTTTCATTTCGCTAATTTTTTTTGTTCGGTCACGTGACAATAAAAATCACATGAACGGAAATTTTTTTGGCCACGTCACCAGAGATTTTTTTTTAGTATTTCTCCTATTCTTCTGTCTTTTTTTTTTTTTTTTTCCTTTTTTTCGGTTTACGCTCCCTTTCGCACAACTCTTTGCACCAATTTCGCGTTACTTTGGCGTTAGCCAAATAATTTTATTTATGGAAGGGAATTCTGCCGTACGTATCTTATGTTACTATTACCAACCCTTTCTTGCAATACGCATAGAGAATTTCGTCCGGCAACCAGTTTGGGAATGACGAGGCCAAATTTGTGTTATAATTTTTTTGAGGTATAAGCATAATTTCGGCCTCGTTATCTGTCGGTCTCTAAGATTGGCTCGTCAAGTATCTTTTCAGAAAGAGTAGACGACTGGCATTTTTACAGTGCACGTGTGTCGACCAGAGTGAACATTGCTGAAGCGCCTCCAGTGTGATTTTGGCCGTAAATAACTGGAGGCCCCGGGCAAACCCACCCTATGTAGAAAAGTATCTACCTTTCTGGTTTCATAGAGAGCTATGAAAGGGACGAATCCCAGCCGAGTCAAACTACCGGCTTGCAAACGCAATCGTGTTGGCAATAGCTCTAAGGAGTTTGTATGACTCTCTCTGGCGGTGTGCAGAGGGTAAAGGGAAGGAAGTAATATATGCTTTCGCCTAGTCACCTCGCAAACGGTTGGGTATTGGCTACAGAGATCCATTTCGCTTTGTTTTATCACCGGGATTATAGCTTGATTTCTGTGTTCCTGATTTCACAGACAAAACGAAATCGCTTTTCTCGTGTGGCGTCACGGCGGGAAGACAGAAATCAATCAGAGTACCGAAATTCGACGCTTGTGCTCGTTCTATAGCGCTTCTAAAAACCGTGCGATCACGGCTGTGCAACATCAACAATGCATAAACTGCAGTTACTTGTACACGTATTGCATCGTGAGGGAACGGCTATGACTGGGTAAACAGGAATAGGGAGAATGGGTGCGTGTGATTTGTTGAAGTTCGAATCAACAAATCAAGCTTCAACAAATGCGATAGTATTGCATTCACTCAACCAGCTATATGAGTTTTCAGACGGTATATACCTTCCAAGTATGCGATTCGTGTTCTGCCAGTGGTATTTCAGCTAAATTAAAAAGCAAAATCCACGTTGAAAAAAAAAAAAAAGTTTACGGTGACTCGAGCCGCTTCCGCGCAGAATCATGTTTCACGTAAGCGTAATCTTGGGGTCGATGCACGACGAGGGGTCTTCAATCATAAAAATTGTATGATTACGATTATTGGCAACGCTAAAAATTTGAAAGCCAAGCAGTGAAGACAACGGTGTTCTTATAAATATTATATACATTTTATTTTACACTGTTTGAATACGCTGCCGTCGTTATGTTCTTGAATTATTGGCTAGCTTGTGGCGGACAGGGAAGTCTTGCAGGACCATATGATAGGACCTACACTAAACCTGCCGCGCTGCGAAAAATGTTATACCCCTGTCAGACGGCAGCTAAAATGGCATTTACACCAAATGACATTCAGTGTAAATGTCATTTAGGCACTGCCACACGGCAACTCAAATGGCATTTAACCTAAATGCCATTTCGGGTAAACAGAGTTCCCCAAACTCATTTACGGCTCGCAAAGCGTACTCTCGATGGCAGCGCTCGACACATATTACGGGATTGTTTTAAAAAAAGAAGGCATATATTACGGAAACAATTTTTACATCGTTTTAATTACGAAAATAATTTCTTTAACGCGTATTTCGCACGCACTTTACGTTCCTAATTGTTTAACATACTCACGACTCCAGTTATCCAGTAGGCCTAATGGCTCTGAACCGCTGAACCTGTTGCGTGCGCGCCTCGGTCGCTCTCGGTTGTTGGTTACACTTGCGATGTGCTCCTCATTTACGCGTTTTTACGATGTCGGAAATAGCGCCTGCCGACAAAAAAAGGCGACCTGTCCCGCGAGACGTCGGTACTCAAACTATGCGAGACGAGCGCCTCGAATGGTCTTCGGTAGCAGAAGCGGAACGGCGGGTTCTGCACCGGCCTACGGGCGATTTGAGATGCCCTCCGTTTCCTCAAGATATACGTCGCACTCCATCACAATACCGAAACCTCAAGGAACATTTTTGGGTAAGATATAACTTTGACGGTGGGCATAACCAACAGGAGCACGCGAAACAATTATCGGAGCGGACGGCCGCCTAGTATTCGTTTTGTGTGTGTGGGTCGTCGCAGCACTGCGTACCTCGAACGAGTACTGCGTACCTCGAACGAGTTCATTGCACGGCCGGCTTGGTCGTGGTTCATACTAGCTGACTTCGCCTAGCAGCGCTTTAAATTTCGCGTTTGTTTCTCTGGCAACAGCTTGCGAAGTTGGCTGAATCTTTACTTGGCTGCCGCGAAGTAGAGATTCTGGGAAGAATGCAATACGACAAAAAGAGTTTACTTTTCTTTAAGTGATACAAATCTTGTAAATGCCCTGTTCTAATAAACGTAGTGTAGGTATTCGTCACCCTGACTTTTGACCGGCTTTTACATTCCCATTGACATCCTCCAAAAAGAAATAAAAAGAAATGCTGCGTGAAGTCAGTCTCTCAATGTTTCTATTTCTAGCTTTCTTTGATGTTGGATAATCCCATACTGTTTCAAAGCGAAATATGTTACGTGTGTTTACATGATACGTGCTCAATTTTATTCCAAAACATCCTAAAAATTGTTTAATAATGCATTGCATATATACATTGAATACAGTTGCTGCACAGTTGCTACTCGAGATATTTACGTGTTCCAGAAAACATCTGCTGCTGGGGGCCACCATAGAAGTAGGCAAAGTAGTGAGCTGGCTACATTACAAAGGAATCTACAAGTTCCCGGGATCACTGTCTCTAAATAAGTGGCAGTTTCTTGCAGTCATGGCCACTTTTGTGACATTCTCTTCACTTGTTTTCAGACGTGCAGTGTAAAAGTATCGCAGAAAGCAACCTGGGTGAGGTACCTTCTAGAAAAGCAGCAATAAAATAATTGTGTGAGGCTGACGATGACAGTCCAATAGCCAGCATCAAGGCTGTCACTGGTATTGACCCCAAGATACCTTAGACTAGTGGCGATGTCAGTGATGATGCCACAAGTACCAGAACAGGCCGACGAAGCAGTGGTGTAAGGGCCGGCACAAACAGTAATGTGCAGCTGAGCTGACAAGTATGAAAACGAAAAGGCCACATAGCCATAGAAGCTGTTTCGGCTCGTTGAAGCAGCCCGACATGCCCCACTAGAGCACTCGGAAGATGCGAGTCGCAGTAGCAGTGCCACGAAATGTTGGAGAAGCAACTGCTCGCATTGCGCAGAAGGTCGAGTGGGTAACTACGTTCAGTAAAGAAGGCGGTCATCGTCTTAAAGACGAAAATCGATTTCGTTGCTGCAAATCTTATGGAGGCAAAGGAATTGTGAGAAGGGAATAGAGTTGATATGGGATCTAGGATGGATCAAGGAGTAAAGAAGGTAGCTATGGCTGTCAGTGGGTTTATAGTGCACAAAGGTGTGGAACCTGTGACCGTCACTAGTGACTTTTAAGTCTAGGAAGTTGACAGCGCATTTCGATATCAGTGAGGTAAACTTGAGGGAGGGGTAGGCGTTACAGAGTGCAGGCCACCACGTTTCCACCCTTATTGGCTGGCTTGGTTACGAGGTTAGTGCGGTTTCG